TTGTTTAGAATAAGATTTGGGCAGCGTTCTTTGATTGAAGACTGCACCTCTGAAGTTTAGCACTTGCCAGCGAAAGCCATTTTCGATACTAAAGAACTAATTTCTTGAGACCATGCATTCATTGCTTTCTTTCACTCAAAAATCGTTGAAGAAAAACTTTAAAGTAGAAGAACATGCAAAAGCCTTGCAGATAATCCTTCTTAAAGAGAAAACAAGTTGATTCACCTAGAAGTTGAGGCTGTAAACCACGAAGTCTCTCGCGCTGTTTTAGTAGAGGAGGTCATTGCTAAGTGAGTTTTCGTGGCTTGACATTGGTTTGTTTTCACTCTCTCTCAACTTTTACCATTAAAAACCTAGATTTCAAATGATTAGAAAATTCACTTTCAACGACTGTTTATTTCCTCTTTGATAGGAGCAGAAGCAGCTTACGAAGTTTGTGTCTTGTTAGGGCTATAGCTGGGAGAGCTACTCATTATGGTCTGCAAAATCAATGGCTACTTCAATGTGAATTCGATAAATATATTTAGAAGCGCTTCAAAGGAGGTCGCACCATACATAACATAATTCAAGAATGATTGGTTTCTTAAGAATTGTTGAAGATGCTACAAAATCGCGAGAGCTGTATTATTGTCAACAATTTCTTTGGCACAAAAACCTTAGGAATGTGCAACGAAACCAACTTGCATTCTCATCCGAGTTGGGCGTGTACCTGCGTTTGCGTGAGTATGAGCACACAAATCTATTTACATAGATTTCCATTACCAGTTATCATTACGAAAAGTCGTGTTTGTACACTTGGTTGTAATACTACATGAGTGAGATGGAAGTTGTACCTTTAGAAAGTTAAATTGAAAAATTAGGGACAGGAAACATAGTCTAGCTCCAGTTTCTGATTTATAATCACATGGCTTAAGTTTTTAAGAAATTTTGCTCTTCAAACTAGCAATTTAACGACGACAACATTTACTTACCTATGCTGTTCATTACGAGTATGCTCCAATCGCTACCGTGGCCCACCTTTGGAATTATAAAGAATAAGAATGTAGAGAGATACTGAGAAGAGCAGATAATTATGAATTGAAATGCCTGAAAAATTTCGTTTGAGTTATGAATGACCATAGCACAATGTTCACTTACGAGTCTGGCATCAGCAAGTGATTGCCGTCGACTAAAGCCACCGTGGTTCTTACGGTTTCGATAAACACTGATGAGTATTATAGCATAAGCAGTTATCATGATGAGTGGTATCGATTGTCCGGCGTATAAATTGAAATCGATGTAAGAAATTCCCACTAAACAATAATTTGCTTGAAGAGTAGGAAAGCAATAAGATGTTAGTACTCACGGAATAGATTGTCGCAATTTGAGCAGCTGAAGGTATACGCCAGAGAAAAGCGATTATACCTTTTGTAACATCCAAGAGCAGTTGAACCAAACGTGATTAAGAGCGGCAATATCAATGATGAAATCAGTAGCACCTGTAGTTTATGAAAAATGATTAATTTCTATTTAAAAATCCGCTGATCACTGCTTTATTTCATCGTATCTTTAGGAAGAAATAGCTCGAATTTATTTGAAGAATTGTATAGTTAGCAATGTGACTTGTCCCTACACTATCCTGGGTTCATATTCACTTACAGACTTCAAGAGCAAATGCGTTAAATAAAGAATTTTCCGAAGCCTTGTGTTCTACGTCGCATTTGAGTTTTTCTTATTTGTATGGAAAAGTTTACGGACTAATTCAAACCTTGATGCAAGTGGTCCTTTCTGCAATACTTTTAGACATAAATAGACCAAAACGATACACTGTGAAAGCCAGCGATGATAAGAGGTATCCCCAATGTCCCAAAGTATTAGGAGTTGCCAGCGTAATCATGACTGTGTCCGAGCTAAAATGACAGATTGCCATCGAATTTTCCATTTTTTCGTTTATTGATTATGGAACGAATCAGCTAAGCTGTTCTGCAGATTAGATGTTATTGTTTGAATGCGAAGCTATGATGTATACCTTATAAACGGGCATTCATTCAATGTACATGGAACGGACACCCATAGGTTTGTTACGGAATAGACTAGACCCGAGGTAATCATATTCAGCACGAAGAACGTAAAGTGCTGAAATTACGCAAATTCGTAATCAAGTTATGGATTGATTATGAGGAGTACCTGAGATCGAAAGGAAATTTTCCATTGACATATAATCACGATGAGTAACATAACGTTTGTGATCACACCAATCAGGGTGAAGAAGAGAACCAAAGCAGCTAGTAGAGGTCTAAATTATACATTTATGCCGATTTCTACTTGGATTTCTGCTTGCGATATATCTACCAGTAATGCATTGTGTTTTATGCCCACAAGATTACCTCTTTATTGGTGGGATTGCCCTTAGAAAATGTCATTGTGAGCATCTTGACATCGCTTTTTGCGGTTCACTCACAGGAGAGGAATTACTACGATCAGTAAAGACGAATCTTAGCCTATTTTGTCTAACAGTCAAGTTATTCGTATAATCGATTACAAATTTGTAGGGATTCCACCTATTAGTACTTACCCTATTTCATCCTCTCCCTTAATTAAAAAATAGCACTGTGAGCCGCAGCTATATAACCGTATACTTTCGTATGCAATAAAAACTTCAAAACATTAAGGACTGTTGTAGTAAAAGTTTCCTGATACGATTAACTAAGTAATATCGTATGTCAGACTGGTGCAGGTAGAGGTGTATATTATCGCTTTGGCTACTGAGGTACTCATAAAAGAGTATAATTATTGATAGTAACTGCTGTTATAAACTAGTTAAAAGTAATAGCAGATTAAACAGTTATTCTTATATGTTGAAGTACTGGTCTTAAGAGAAGGAGTCGTGTGTTATTGCCATTGTATGCTTTGAAAGCCTTTTTAATTTACTCTTTAGCAATGTTGACAAGAAAAAATCACTTTGAATCTTTTTTTATTACGCCTTCTCAATTATTACATATGAGGCGACCAAGAGTGAGAAAAGTTAATGC